GGAGATTTGTTGGGTATTCCCTCCTAGTAAGGGAGCCCAACAAATTGGTAAGTGAGCCTTTCTTCCTCAAGCCCAAAACCAATTTATAATAGTAAGAAGGAGACCATACATTCATATATACAAAACAGACAGAGAGAACGAGAGAGAGAGAGAGAGAGAATGCTAGGTTCCGGTTCTTCTTACCATTGATCGGAGGTTCATTTGTGATCCGATTTAACTGATATTTCAGCATGTTGTTCCTGGCGAAAAGGGCTACATTTTGACTGGAGCCGATCGTTCAGACTTCTCTCCTTTTGTCTAGGCCACACACACTTGTTTAGTGATACTTTCTCCTTTTTTATAGTGTGTATTTATTTGGAAGGATGTTGTAGTTGTTATCCAAGAACTATATGAGTTCTTGATATATTGGTAGCTTTTGGAGTGTATTATAGAGATGATTAATTATGTATCTCATTATTTTCATAGTGGAAGGCTTTTGCTGAACTATATCCCGGGGTTTTTCCCTTCGCAGCGTTTCCTCGTTAAAAATCTGGTGTTCAATTTATATTCCGACAGTGTGTGTGAGTTGTTGAATTTGCCTATTATAGTTACCATGTTAATTCTTGTACATAGGGGTTGAATTAATTACTTTCACTGCTTGTTTGTTATATTAGCTCAATCCCCATCATAAGAACAAGTTCAAAACTCTTTTTCGTCAATAATTATACAATTCTTTAGAGGGTTAGTCAATCAAAATACAGGTTCCATAACCAACAATTCATCAATACAAAGACATTATAAATACATAAAACCCATAATTCAGCTTAAAAACAAACAGAAAAAACAGATGAAAACTGCCCAATAAATAATTTATTCAATCATCCTATCAATATTCCAGGAATAGATGGAATACCTGGTCACCAATTTTCCAGCGAGAAACATTTTTCCCAACGGCTTCGATGGTACCGGAACATTCGAGACCCAGGTACGGGCTGTCACCCTTAGGTGGATCGTAACTACCCATCCGCTGAAGGGTATCAGCTCTATTGAGTGCGGTGGCTACAATTCTGATTAAAACTTCATCATCTTGGATTTGTGGGTCATCAACTTCTTTCAACTGAAGCACTTCCGGGCCACCAGGGCTTGTGATCACTACCGCCTTCATTCTTTCTCCTCACGGTTGCTTCGATGTGTGGGTGTGTGCGTGAGAGTAAGTACGTTTTGTAGGAGTGGGGTGAGTTCAGCCGTCAGAGTGGACAGCAGAGGGCTTAATTGGAAAATAAAATGCAGTGACAATTGACAATTACGGAAATCTACACAATTTATTTAAAATTTGTTTTTAAAATTAACAGCACAAATTTTGAAAATACATGAATTGTCAAAAAAAATATATATATTTGTACGAATAGAATTCTTTACTTTTAGTTCCAATTTTAAAATAAATTTTGTAAAAATGATTTTACTTTTTTTTTTTTTGGTAGGAGGTGTGATTAAAAAATTTGAAAAACATTTGAATTGTGCAAAATTATTTTTTTTAGTAAAAATGTATTATGAAAATGACATTGAAAAAAAAAATATAATTCTCAATCGGGTCTTAGTGATGAAATTTTTTGTTGTTAAAATTTCATCTACAATAAAGTTGTTTTAATAAAGTCATTACTTGCCATTAAATGAATAAAGTCTTTATAAATGAATAATGATATTTAATTTAACCAATTAAATATAAAAATGAATGAGACTCATTTAATTCCATTACTCTTTTCAAATATGCATTAGACGTTAAAAAGATACTTTCGCTACAACACAATTTACTGCATTCGTATGCTTTAAGGAGTTCTTTATGGCAATAACTGAGCGATGTCTAAAGCAATGCCCTAAATACTCACTTCTTTTGACGTCAACATTGAATGTCATAACAAAATTGGAAGGACATCATTAACTCACTTCAAAAGAAAATAGAGCATATAAGAAAGATGGTCCAATTTAGAAGGCGTATATTTTTGGAAAGTGCATAGAAATAATAAAATGTAAAATATTAGGAAATGTTCAAGTACCTAAAATGTTGAAAATTGAGATATTTCAATAAGCATGTTGTTCGTCCTTAATTCAATGTCTAAGTTTATGTAGCCAAGAACGATCCGAACGTTCTCATTCTAGTCCTTAAAGTTGGTTCTATTAAGCACCTGAATTAAGCTGATGTTGGCAAATATTGAAGAAGCAGAAGTATCAATTAACTAGAGAACAAAAATAAAGAAATACGATCACACGAGAATCCATATTAAACAATCAATAAATTTAAATAATAATAGACCCCATCACAAGAGACCGAGTATAACATTGATATTTAGTCTTTTGACATAAATACAAACATATAAGTGACACTCTTAATGTAGTAATCAAATATTGATAATAACTTATTATTCATATAATTTTTTTTATAATTATCACATATTTATTACTACACGTGTAAATGTAGTTTGACCAGATATTTACATTCATTTGAGCCGATCAATATCCGCATGAATTACATACACACAACCATCTCAATATTCCAAACAAATTAATTTAGACAAAAGATGTAATTTTGGTAACATGTTGCAATCAATCTATTTTAGAATATTAGACATTCGAATGAAATTAATGGCACCAAAATTTGAATTTGATTGTCACTTGAAATTTTCTCCCGAAAATTCACGATCTATACCAGATAGTACGCCGCTCAAGCGCTAGGCGAGCAACAGTAGGTGAGCATCGATGCCCATGCTCTCAAGCTTGAATGCTAGAGCAATGCCATAACAATTCTGTAAAACCGAAATTTTGTCCAAAAAATCCAAAATTCGAAATTTAAAGATAAAATTCTCATCCCAATGTTGAAGAATCCAAAGTACGAACTTCATCCCTAAAATCTTTTTCAAATCTCAATGGTTTAACATGAATTGATTCTAATACCACTCATTGAATCTAAAACTTAATAACTTTATGAATCTTTTATCTTTATTGCCAAGATCTCCACGTCAAATCACTAATGCAGAATATACCTTCATCCATTACTTTTGAATCTTGAAGATCAGCTGCAAGTTCTTGATTTTGACTTCTTGCTCTTTAACCCTGATTATTGCCTCTTGATTCTTGTTGTAAAAAGAGAGAATAAAACTCAATAGATTTGTGTGTATTATAATGAGAACCAAAGTCCTATATTTATATGGTAGGATTAGGGATACAATGGTAATAATTTTTACGGCTGTAGGGGTACAATTGTCATTCACTAATAAACTTACAATTTATAATACTCCCTCTTGAATGACACATTACAAAATATTTATCTAGTTAAAATCTTACTCGATAAAAATCCAATGGGACAAAGAAAATCAAACGAAGGAAAAAGAGTACAATCATTTTGAAGTATTAAAGATAAATAATGTCTCATTAAAATCTTGTTAGAAAAACCTAATGGGATAAAACCTAAGCAAAGAAAAAATAGTACAGCTACTCCACCTGATGTTGATTAATGAAAATTTTTAAGTCGGCGCATTCCAATCTTGTGAATCATTTTCTTGAATGTAGATGTTGGCAGTGTTTTTATAAATAAATCGGCCACATTGTCATTGAACGAATTTATTGAACATTGATGACGCCATTCTTCTGAAGCTCATGCCCGTGAAAGAATTGTGGAAAAAATATGTTTCGTCCTATCACATTTGACATAAATTCTTTTGAGTTTTGCAATACAAGCAACATTGTGTTCATACAAAATTGTTGGACTATCTTTTGTTGAACTTAATCCGCATGATGCTTGGATATGATAGGTCATATTTTTCAACCATACACATTCTCAACCTGCTCCATGAATTGTAATAATTTCAGAATGATTTGAGGATACTGTTGTTATGGATTACATCACAGATCTCCATGATATAGTCGTTCCTCCATGTGTAAACAAGTATTCTTTTTTGATTTAGCTTTATGTTGGTCAGAAAGATAACCTGCATTTGCATATCTCACTAAAGTAGATCCCGACTTTTGAGAACAAATTAATCTAAAATCAATAGTTCCCTTTAGGTAACGAAAAATATGTTTAACACCATTCCAATGACTTTGTATTGGTGCAGAGCTATATCTTGCAAAAATATTTACAGAAAATGTATGTTCAGTCGAGTACAATTTACAAGATAAGTTAATGCTCCAATTACACTGAGATATGGTATTTCAGGACCAAAAGCCTTTTCTCCATTTTCAAGTGGACGAAAATGATCTTTTTTCATATCAAATGATCGAATAACCATAGGTGATGCCAATTATGCGCATTATCCATATACAAGTATTTTAAGACTTTTTCTATAGATGTATATTGATGAACAAATAATTTTTTTGGAAAATGTTCAATCTGCAACCCAAGACTGAATTTGATTTTTCCTAAATATTTCATCTCAAATTCATTTTTAAAATAATTTGCAATTTTGTTGAGTTCTTTAGAAGTTCCAATTAAATTTAAATCATCAATATAAACTGTCACAATTGCAAAT